ACCTCAAAGATACTTCCAATAGCATCTTCGGCATCTGGTATTTGATACTTAAAACCGGCTCTTCCCGCTACCTGCAATGTTTTAGCTGCAAAAACTCTCAAAACGAACTTCTACGTACCCAAACTTTTGCTGGTTCCATAGCCTTGTAGACCTTCGGCGAGTACAAGTATAGCCTCGACCAAAACTCGAGATTGCATCCGTAAAAGCTCTAAAAAACTGCTGTTTTCTTCAATCAAACAAAGGAAGATATCTCACTTCATTTTTCTTAGTCGTTCGTATTTTTTTTACTGCATTCACTACGGCCGCCCGAAATTCTTGATTTTCTGGGAGTTTGTATTTTCCACCCATTCTATCGCATTCTTTTCCAGGAAGTCCAGGAGGCACATGATTCATGGCCATATCTCCTTCGCTCATGAGCGCAGCCATCTGAGTAAATGCCCATTTTTGCGTATTTGTACTTACCACCGGATTGAGTAATATGTACTGTACTACTAACGAGTAAAATGAAGTTGAATCCAACAGTCGCCATGGTAGTACTAGCAAATTGGTGTCAGCTGTCATCCGGCTTAGTTTTATACTTGTATACACCTTACTGAGCGGTAGGATCCAGTCAATTCAATCGACCCACTTGGATGCACTTTTGAAAGTTTGCCCATTAATTACGAAAAGAACGGCGCTTGCGTACAAAGCATCTCTTTGAATCAAGTGCATTTGTTACATATCAATTAATTAATTCAAAATTACACTTTGCAAGCGACTACAACTTCTGTTCTGTGAAATTTATCGCACCTCGGAAAGATTTCGTTGACGAAAACATTATAGGCATTGACCACTTCGAGTACGAATCTACAGTTCTTGTGGCAACTCGGTGGGCTCATGGCACCTAGGTAGAAACCCGAGGCCTGTCGCTCGCCCACCATAAACGACGTACCTAGCCTACAACTAACTTAACGCTCAAGAGATTAGACAAATTTATATACTAAACAACAAGGTACAAAAATACACAACAAAAACCATTAGATTTTTGAACTGATCTAACTGATCCAGGATATAACAAAGAACGAGCGGCGCGTTCCATGCTGCTGACGTGGACAAGCTC